GGGGGCCGGGGTGGAACAAGTACACCGCCATGCGGTCGACGTATTCCACCTCCCCTAAACTGTACGCGAACGTCCGATCACTCGGAATCTCGTCCGGTAGCTGATACGGAGCGCCGCTCCCCTCGCCCAGCAAACGTGCCAAGGCGAGCGAGGCCTCGTCGGCCAGTCCCTCCTCGTATATTGTGCGAATACGTAACAAGTCGGGACGAACTTGCGTCATCGAGAGGATGTCGCCGACGGTGATTCCGGACCGGGCGTGACGACGCCACGCATACCTCAGACGGCTGAGAGGTAGAGGCGTCGACCGCTCGAGCGGCACACCTAACCACAACGTAGTGGTTGCTGCGGCCTCCTGATCGAGGCCACCACTATCCCGAGTCGACTCGGGAAGAGCACCAGGACGCCGACAACTCCCACAAGCCCCGTAAGAGCCCGGGACCGCCCTGTACGCCTCACTCCCGCGTACCGTCGCGGATGCTTCGCGAGGCTGCTCACCCCCAACGGGGCCTGACTCGTGCCAGGCCCGCTCGACGCCTCCGACCGCGTCCCTCGGACCTCCGCGGCGAACAGCACCCTCGACGGGCGGGTCGGACTGTGGCGTGATCACGGGGGCAGCGAGGGCAACGACCCCCAGCTCCGCGGACAATGTGGATTCGCGTGAGCGGCGTCCCTGTTGGAACGGAGGCAGGGACGTCGCCGCGCGTACAGTAGGCGCAGCATGATTCGGAGGACGCCCGCCTCTCGGCGCGACCTCGGCAATCGGGTATTCGTGGTGGCCGGGGCGGAAGAACAGGGGTCGGTGCCACCGTCCGGCAGAGGACGGTGAATGACAGGCACCGACGTCAGCGGATCCGACATGACGGAGAGATCAACGGACGTCGCGGCGAAAGCAGCGCGGAGAGGCGGTGAGACCGCCACGCGGAACGGGAACTCCAAGCGGAGGAAGCCGTCTGATCGCGGGGCCCAAGGGGAGAGGCGCAAGGCAGATGGGGAGAGACGATCGGTTAGCAAGCACACGACCGCGCGTCGCGATGAAGAGGATAAGGACCACTGGACGCGGTCGTGAGGGCTAAGAGGAAGGCGCGTGATATCTACAAGCTCGGGCATTTCCACTCCCGTCAAGCACGTGTGGACGTGGACGTCCACGCCTGAAGGGCGGGTGGTGTAGTATAACTACCAAAAGGATTAGATTAGAAATTGGATCCGGCTCTGTAAGGTACGGACCTTACAGAGGGCCTGTACCACACGTGTAGGGGCGCACGCGCCCCCACGTGTACCATACGTGTACGACGCGTATACAGTCAGCCCTGTCCGCTGACAGTACCGACTACTGTAGTACCGCATAGTACAGTACGTACTGTACTAAGTTACGATAGACTAATTGTATATTAAATAACGGAGCGGACTGGCGGCGAAGGGGGGGACAAGCACGGACTTGTCTACGACCTACCGCCGAGGTCTGACTTCCAGCTTATCTTAAGGAAGCTTCCGTTAGCTACCTTAAGGCGAGACCGAGCGCGGGTAGAGGACGCGCGAGCACGCGAACGAGCCTAGATCCACCTCCGCCCGTCAGCGCTGGAACGTAACCCAGCGCTGCTCCGGGGCGTCGAGGCGTAGATCGGCCCGCACGTGTGCGCGTCCTCCCCCCGATCCCGCTCTACCACGCTACCCGGGCCCGTGCTCCGGTTTCGTTAGCTGGTCCGACTTCCCCCGTCTTCTCGTACGTACGGGTCTTCCAGGACTAAGCATACACTCCTATCCGTTTGGGGGTGTTTATGCTACAATGGGCACGAAAAAAGGGGACGCGGGGGAGCTGCGGAGAACCGGTTGGCTGGGTGAGAAGGAGTGGGAGAAGGGGATGAAAGACGATGAAAGAGGATGAAAGAGGTTGGGTTTGTTGTCGTTGACGCCGAAGGTGATGATGGAAGAGTAGGGTATGGTAGATAGATGAGACCCGCAAGACTTGTAAACGGAAAATTTGGGACTGCCCTTGAACGTGGGCGTCGCGCGCAGTCATGGGTCGGGCCAGGGACGTGCTGCTGGTGGGCAACTACACCGTGCGTCCGGCGGAGGTTGGCGGGCTGCGGAAGCATGCACGGCACGGGGCGGAGGTAGTAGGGTGGACAAGGGCGGGCGAGGGCGGGCGAGGACGGAAATGGAGAGGAGGGGTGTGCGTGGTGGCAAGGTGAGTGCATGCCGGAAGGAGGAACGCTGATTTCAGGCGTGGCCGGAAACGGGGCGCAGCGGGCAAAGGATGCAGGCAAGATATAGGCAATGGACAAAAACTGGAGCGGGAAAAAACCGGATCAGAGCGTATCTCCCTCCCCTGGCAAAACGAGATGGAAAAAGCAGAGGCATTAAAGCAGAGGCATTACCATCTCGCATTTCCCGTCGTAGAAAGCGGCACCAGCGCGGGGCGAACGTCGTAGCATGTTCGATGGTTGCAAAGAGGGGATTGAAGGGCTACTAAAAGCACCCTTGCGTACATTGCTTACGGTAGCCTAGTCCCCCCCCAAAAAAGATCAAGAAATCAGAGTCCCCCTACCATTGTAACAACTCCGCGAAAAGTGCGAGTCGGAAATCCAAATTCCCCCTCCTATTTGGGTCGATTTTTTTCGTCCCCCCCCTTTATCGAAACAAAATGCACCTGCCCCCTACTGTATCGATACAATATCATGTGTCCCCCCCTGACACCGAAAGATTTTGACCTTGTCCCCCTCCCAATCTCAGAATGACCCAAAATAGAAACCGTGGAGATCAAAGTGGAAAACAAATAAAAATTGCAGATTTTTATGATTTTTTAATGTGATGATAACGCTTTGTTGGATAGACACTACATAGACACGATTCTAGAGGTCTTGTTTCTCCCTACTGTATCGGCCCAGTCCCATGCCATACTCGACCAATCTCCACTCGCTGCACGAAACATCGTGTTATTGAGGAGTGCATGCATGGCAGCAAGGTAAAATCTGCGCTACTCTTCTCTCTCCGTATTTAACACCGGTATTTAACAAGGGCAGGTCGTGAATGTTCAGCGGTCCTATGCCGTTTGTGAGTATATTGAAGCCATGTTCAAGTTGTCCGCAGAAGCGCTGCACAGTATGGAAGAAGCTTTCGTGATTTCCGCTGAGCAGAATCAACCAGCGAGTCCTGAGCAAGACAGTGATGGAGAGGCCATGTTCAAGAGAGGCAACATGCTGAGAAACGGCGAAGACGGAGTTGAGAAGGACGCCGCACGAGCTGTGAGGCTGTATGGGAGTGCGATTGAGGAACATGGTCATGTCGGCGCGATGGTGGGCCTCGGTAATCTACTGACAGAGGGCGCGGAAGGAGTCAGCATCAATGCACAGCGCGCTGTGGGGCTGTATGAACAAGCGGTGCGGCAATACGATGATGCCGATGCAATGGTACAACTCGGAAAACTGCTGGTGAAGGGGGCAGAAGGAGTGGAAACGGACGCAGTACGGGCTGTGGAGTTGTATGAAAACGCGATAGACAAACATGAAAATGTTCGGGCGATGGTGAAGCTTGGATTCCTGCTGGAGGAGGGCGCAGAGGGAGTGAAGAGAAATATGAGTCGGGCCGTCGAGTTGTACGAGCGTGCGATCGAGAAATCTCATGATTGCAGCGCGATGTCCAACCTAGCATATTTATTGAGCAAGGGAGGGGACGAGGTTACACAGAATTCAGCGCGGGCTGTGGAGCTGTACGAGAAGGCGATTAAGGAGCACGACGATGTTGATGCGATGGTGGATCTTGGAGTCCTGCTGGAGAAGGGCGCAGAGGGAGTGGAAAGAAATTTGGATCGGGCTGTGGAGTTGTACGAGCGTGCGATCAAGAAATCTCATGATTGCAACGCGATGTACAACCTAGCAGGTGTATTGCGCAACGGGGGGGACGGGGTGGCACAGAACTCGGCGCGGGCTGTGGAACTGTACGAGGACGCGATTAAGGAGCACGACGATGTCGACGCGATGGTGAATCTTGCAAACCTGCTGAAGGAGGGCGCAGAGGGAGTGGAGAGAAATTTGGGTCGGGCTGTCGAGTGGTACGAGCTTGCGATCGAGAAATCTCATAATTGCAACGCGATGTTCAACCTAGCAGGTGTATTGCGCAACGGGGGGGACGGGGTGGCACAAAACGCAGCACGGGCTGTGGAACTGTACATGTACGTGATTAATGTGCACGATCATGTTAAGGCGATGGTAGATCTTGGAGTCCTACTGAAGCAGGGCGCAGTGGGAGTGGAGAGAAATGTGGGTCGGGCTGTCGAGCTGTACGAGCGTGCGATCGAGAAATCTCATAATTGCAACGCGATGTTCAACCTAGCAGGTGTATTGCGCAACGGGGGGGACGGGGTGGCACAGAATTCAGCGCGTGCTGTGGAACTGTACGAGTACTTGATTGAAGAGAACGACGATGTCGACGCGATGGTGAATCTTGGAGTCCTACTACTTCAGGGCGCAGTGGGAGTGGAGAGAAATGTGGGTCGGGCTGTCGAGCTGTACGAGCGTGCGATCGAGAAATCTCATGATTGCGACGTAATGTTCCTACTAGCACTTGTATTGAGCAAGGGAGGGGACGGGGTGGCACAAAATTCAGTACGGGCTGTGGAGCTGTACGAGGACGCGATTAAGGAGCACGATCATGTTAAGGCGATGGTGGGTCTTGGAGTCCTGCTGGAGAGGGGTGCAGAGGGGGTGCAGAGAAATGTGAGTCGAGCTGTCGAGTTGTACGAACGTGCGATCGAGAAATCTCATGATTGCAGCGCGATGTCTAACCTAGCATATATATTGAGCAAGGGAGGGGACGAGGTTACACAGAATTCAGCGCGGGCTGTGGAACTGTACGAGTACTTGATTGAAGAGAACGACGATGTCGACGCGATGGTGAATCTTGGAGTCCTACTGAATCAGGGCGCAGTGGGAGTGGAGAGAAATGTGGGTCGGGCTGTCGAGCTGTACGAGCGTGCGATCGAGAAATCTCATCATTGCAACGCGATGTTCAACCTAGCTGTTGTATTGCGCGACGGAGGGGACGGGGTGGCACAGAATTCAGCGCGTGCTGTGGAACTGTATGAGTACTTGATTGAAGAGCTCGACGATATCCAGGCGATGGTGCATCTTGGATTCCTCCTGCTGAAGGAGGGCGCAGAGAGATTGGAGAGAAGCGTGGTTCGGGCCTTCGAATTGTTCGGGCGTGCGATCTGGGAAGGCCGTAGTGGCGGCACTACCTGCCAACTCGTGTTCTTGATGATTTGCAGTTTTAGTTTTGCAATTGCGTGTTTTTCTTTGCTACTGCAATGCATGTGCTGATGCGGCTCAGAGCGTTCCAGTTAATGTGAGATAGTCGTTCTCAATTCTGCTGAATTGAAGCAATCACTACTGTAGCATGTTAGATACGGACCATCGACTACGGGTCCGATTATACCGAAAGTTATCTCCGGTTAGCTCTAACCTGTTACGTGATCCTTTCCTGGAACCAGAGTGGAAGAGTTGAGGTGTAGAACTGTACTGTCAACAATATCTGGAAGGGACGCCGTTCTGCGGGATGAAGTCTGAGCTGCGAATCTATATGAGCGCGCGATCCTGGAGCACAGTGATGTGCACGCGATGACAGGGCTGGGCCTGCTATTATCCCTTGGCGCGGCGGGAGTGGAGAAGAATGTGATTCGCGCAATAGAATTGTACGAGCGCGCGATCGACGAGGCCCAGGATGCCTTTGCTATGGTCGAACTGGCGCGCCTATTGCAGGATGACAGAGACGGGGTGCGGCCGAATGCAGCGCGAGCTGCAAAGCTGCTTGAGCGCGCGGTTGAAGAGCACGACTACGTCGAGGCCATGGTGCAACTCGGGGAAATGCTAGTACAAGGCACGGGGGGAGTACGGACGAACGCGGCTCGTGCGGCGCGATTGTACGAGCGTGCGATCGAGAAGTGCCATAACCGCGACGCTATGCTTAAACTGGCTTGCCTGCTGCGGGACGGAGCGGACGGGGTTTCGCGGGATGCAGCGCGAGCAACGAGGCTGTTCCAAGCCGGGATGAACGGGCGCGACGGAGGCGAGGCGATGGAGATTCTCGAGCGACTGGTGCAGGACGCAGCCGGGCGGCGCTGAGCCCAGCACGAGGCAGACGAGGCCGGTGCATGGGTTCCGGCAATCTGACGGCAATGTGAAAGGGGGGAGGCGGTGGACGACTACGCGGGTGACTTGTTTGCCGACGTCGCGTGCATCCGCGACGTGGGCACGCCTGCGAAGGAGAGAGGGGATGGCATCCTTGGTGTCACGCGGACGGCTGCACAAGTGTTCCGTTTCGACTTGCAGAAAACCTCGTTGATCGCTATCATGCCCTCAAGAGTAATGCCTTAGAGTAATGGCTTTGGCAATGGCACCATGGGGAGGTACGATGAGCGACGAGGCTGAAGAGGAATGCAAGACTTGGACATGAAAGCATGGGACTGCTAGTTACTCTCGTCAAAGCTGGGCCCCCCTCGACAGCATGCTGGCCTCAGGGGTGGTCTGGGTCTTCAAAAAGGAACAAGGCGGGATTACGGCGGAGAGAGGAGCAGCGTCTGGGATCAGCATGTGAGGGGACGCTGCAGCTTCTGCGCCACGTATCCAAGTGTACACGTGACATCGCCCTTGTTGAATTCTCTGCTGAATGTGTCTGCTGTGATGCAGCGGTTGGGTGAAACAGATCTTCGGAAATTACAGCAGAATTACAGTATATTTAATTGATAGTTACTAAAACGGTAAGCGAAGGATTATGGTCAAGGTGAGGGTCGGGTTAACAAAACGTGGGGCGACCGGGTCGCCATCGACACCGTTATCCCCGCAG